GTAATTTTTTGTCGGAACTTATAATTAAGTCAATAACTACTAAATAATTTTTAATATTTCTTACTGTCTGCCCCTTCATATTTTCTTTATATTTTGTCTTTGTGCTCTTCATATCTTTTTTGTTCTTCATAATTAATTATGTTGTATATAAAATCTGCAAGAGTGTAAGAGTAAGCCGAGAATAAATGAAGTAAAAAGTGCGACAGTCCACGGTCAATGAACCCAAAACTTTCCCCCAACCACAAGAAAGAAACGATGAGATTATTACGAGATTTCGAGACTCGAAGTTGCAATCGCACGAATTAAGTAGTGAAATTTCGTAAATTCGTAGAAGAAAGGCGTTACAAAGATTGGATACTAAACTGTATTAGTAACGCTTCCACCCCTAACTGTTTTCATTTTGTATCTTTTACTATAAAGAATCGATCGAATAACTCGTGAAGAGAAAAAGTTAAGAGCGATCAATTTCCTGACTCACTTAAGACGATCTCAGAAATCGTTTTTTAAACGTAGAATGACGGAAGCTACCCCTTTTGTTGACAAAGGGTTAAACGAAGCTATTACGTAAAAATAATTACCGTCTGTGTCTGTTGGCGGCGAGGTTTCACTGACCACGTGGTACGTTAAAAGCAGGCACCAGAAAACACACAAACCGACGTTGTTCGCACGCATTTTCGTGCCGAGAATCTCGCACGAACGGCAAACGCAACACGCACTGTCCCGACTTCCGACTAAAACTAGCCTCGAGGAACGGAAACCCAGCTCGCCGCTACTCCCACGCTTTTTGAACGAAAGTTACTATCTTCGTCGACAACGTTCGCCGCGAGTCGCTCATCGCCCGCTGTCTCCAAGGAACGAGAGCCAACGATCTTCGTAAACATTTTCAATCACTCGACATAAGCGCAACAAAACGTCAATGAATTAATTTAATAATGCACAATGGGTGCACATGAATCACAGCCGATACGTGTTTAGACGATTTCAAATAAAAAGGAAGACTTTATTACGATTATCGGGACGCGAGACACGTGTCTTGTAAAATGTCGTAAACAATAAACTAACAATAAAACACTTTGCAATTTGCATAACGTCGAGATGTCAACTGCATGCGCATTGAACGTGCGCAATTGTCGTTTGAACATCAAATAATGGAACGTGAATGAAGGCACAAATTCAATATGGCTGCTTGCATGAGAAGCATTCGCGCATGCGTAGAAGTCTGTACGGTGATCTGTTCATGCGCAAGAGCTTCCCATGTAAGCCGCCATCTTGAATATACGGTTTCATTCGCGTTCCGTTTCATGTCTTACAAAGTGTCCAAACTTGTCTATAAGATCGTGATTTAAATGAACAGGCGATATGAGTTTAGATCATTTAAAAATAAAAACAAAAATTATATTAAAATCATGGAAACATAAGACACAATATCGTAAACAATAATCTATATACAAGATATCCCCGAATTAAATGAAAAAACTGCACTACTATATTCTTATGTTAATAAATATAAGAGAAAAATGTTATATATAAACATACATCTGCAAACCCTTTATTATTACATTGAAAAGAAGTTTACTTATGAAACATTTGCAGGTCAATGTTTATGTAACATTTACATTGTAAGAAATCTGAACTTGGGAACTCCTATACGAATTAATTAAACATCAACGCGAATAATTGATAATAAAAATATAAAATACAGAATATAATGTACCTTTTATCCCAACGTCGCAAAACTTTGTGTTATATCGTTCAGCAATAAAATGGCTGAATTCATTTGTAGAATTTGCTTCGCACGACGAGCTGGAATCGATGATTTTTTCAGCAAAAGCGTTTACTAACAAAACACCGAATAACACAATGTCTCTTCTGTAACACATTTTAGATCAATAATAAATTATGTTCTTTAATTTGAACGTTTCAATTTATTCTCACGCCTCGCTCATTTATTTATTAAGAATACGAACGACAATGAAGATTTTCGTGTAACCGATGAATTATAATCTAATTTATAAGCGCAGAACAAATAAACTGCGATTAACGAATTAGGGAGATTCAAACAAACTAGAAATTACTCGACGCAACTGGCGATATAGGATCGATGCGAATGAACGATCGAATCATTTATAGGTGAAATGGAATTCGAAAGCGCGACGGATTACTGTTTTTCGACAGAGGCTCGAACAGCGTAACCGTTTTTTATCATCCTCCCTCTTCCTGCAACTTGGAGACATTTCCTCGCAAACGAAAATGTTTACAACGTTGAGTAAAGAGGAGAAAAAAAATGACTCAGTCGGAATAATACGGGTTATTGTGTATGTAGGTAATTGAGTTACGTCGGAGAGCCGACCTAATGCCCAACAAATAGGATTAACCGTAGATTTAATACAATTACTGGGACAGCGGCGTGGACGATGCTGAGGCTTCTTTTACGTTTTGATAAAAATTTGTCCGCAGTATCCGCACGTCGATCATCGCCGGTGTTTCGTTTCCAAATAGTTTTAGAGAGCAGCCGCCAAGTAAAAAATGGGGAAGGATGATGCTGAGACGGTGGCTTTGAAAAAAGAACTAGAGGACCTGATCAACAAATGCAAGGTTGTATCTGAAAGAACATGGCTTGCAATTAAAATTCAATGATAAAGAGATTGTAACGGAATGATGTTTGCGTATCAGGAAGACCAGAAGAAGCAGCAGGACACCACGCTGGAGGAAACGTGCGCCAGTATGGCGGACGCTCCCAAAGTTAAATTGAGTACGAAGAAGTTGTTGAAGGGACACATCAATAAAGTGAACTCGGTGCATTACAGTGGCGACAGTAGGTCGGTAGTCCATGCGAAATCAACCGTAACGTGCTGCAAATCTTCATAGGTTTCATAGACTTCTATAGTGACTTCCATTAATGTCCGGTCGCACTTCAAAATAGAATACCTTTTTTTTAATTATTGGATCAAACAACTTCATTTTCTTTGAAATATTAGGAGGTCTCATCAATTTTTGTACTCATTTCTTAATAGGAATTCCTGAAGATAGTTGGATCTATTAAATTTATTTCAGACCTCGAATACTCGTTTTTATAAAAATCGGTGGCTCACGAGACTATTCGGACACCTTTTAAATTGAATAACTATTTTAATATTGGATCAAGTACAATGTTAGAAGGCTTTATTACTATAGAATGCGTAATAAAAGATTTTAAAAAATTGCTATTCGTTAAAGTTTCGAATAAAAAAGTAAATGACATGAATTTTAACTTTTTTATTAGAGTCTTAAATAAAAATTCGAAATATCCCATTTGTAGATCTAACTAAGTTATATGCATGTACAGAGTTTTATAAAAAACTATAGAAGCATAAAAAAGTTAGTTGAAACATGTAAAAATTGTACAATTTATCTCAGTTTAAAAGTCATGAAAAACTGCGATTTTTTAAATTCTTATTTGCTTGTAACTCGTACCAACATTAATCGATTTTTATGAAAGTTTGTACATATAATTTAAATCTACAAACGGCATGTTTCATATTTTCATTACAGTCCCTAATAAAAAAGCTAAACATCATATCGTTTATTTTTTTATTTGAGACTTTAACGAATAGCAATTCTTTTAAATCTCTTGTTACGCATTATAAAGTAACTAAGCCTTCTATCATCTTACAGAGAATTAAGTTACTTGATTCAACATTAAAAAAGTTATTCTGTTTTGAAATGTGTTTGAATATTAATGGGAATCACTCTATTCCACAGATTGCTTCTTATTTTTTCTGATCTCTATTGTACCTCCTTTGAGCAAGATTCTCGTTTTCTAGGCATTGCGTGACCGGTTCGTTAGACGGAAAACTGATCATCTGGGACTCATGGACTGGAAACAAGGTTCAGGTGATCCCGTTGCGCTCCGCGTGGGTGATGTCTGTGGCTTTCGCACCGTCCGGGAACTTCGTCGCCTGCGGCGGTATGGACAACATGTGCACCGTCTACGACGTTAACAATCGCGATGCCACCGGCTCGGCGAAGATCACTCGAGAACTGTTAGGATACGAAGGTTTCCTCTCGTCTTGCAGATTCCTCGAGGATAAGAGAATCATCACTGGATCCGGTGACATGAAAATGTATCCGTTCCTACAAAATATAACGAGATAACTATTTATACAAAATGAATCAGTAACTATTGTTATTTAAAATAATGAAATATCTAATAGTTTTTTCGCGTATTACTCGTGTAGTTGTACATTTCAGAATCTCTTCATTTTCCA